ACCCACCCCGGTATCGGACAGACAACTTCGCCCTCGCAGGTAGCTCGGACTTTTAAGAGGGGGAGTGTGTTACATCTTCGACTCACACGGGTCCTACCGGACCCGACTTAGGGCCGGAGGGACACACTAGGGCCTAAAGGCCCGACCTTTGGGGTTACAGGCCCTAAAGGCCTGATTTTGGACTATCACCCATCGGGTAGGCCCAAACGACACTTCGTTTGGGCCTGGAGGCGCTCTTGAAGCTGCCGCCCGCCGATTGAGGCTGAACCGTCCATCTGGACGGTCCAGGGTCTGGCCTGGCCTCGCAGCATTGAGGCCAGACCATTGCCCACCGGTATAAGTACCGGTATCCGCCTCAGTAGGGGGATTGGCCTACCGGAACTCTACCGGCACGGCATGGTCAGTGCTAGGGCACTGTTTTGATGCGCTAAACTTAGCGCAGGGGCTGAAGCAGGAGCGCAGCATAGCGCAGCAGCGAGCGGAGCAGCAGCGGGCGACTGAGCTTGCACGGCGGTTMTYACCGCCTGAGGTATCGGGAGCTTGGAGGGTCTCTCCTCCTCTCCCTCGCCAGTCCCCTCTCTCTCTCTCTCCTCTTCCTCTTCCTCCTTCTTCTTCTTCTTCTTCTTCTTCTTCTTCTTCTTCTTCTTCTTCTTCTTCTTCTTCAGATTGGAGACTATCCAGTTGGACAGAGATCAGAGTTGGATTTCGGTCATACGAGACTGTGGTACTTACCTGATTGGAGACTTGGAGATTGTTGAGGTTGATACTCGGCTGCATCACAGTTGGACACCGGTTACATCTGGACTCTGTTATCTCCGACATTGGTGACCTTTGGTCCTAGACATTTTGATCTTGTTATATGACATTCTGGACTACCATTTCGGAGACCTATCAGACTCTATCTTTGTGACCTATCGGTGTGATCTACCTCCCACCTCCTTCGTCTCTCCTCCCACCTTTCATCTGTGTATGTGTGTACGGGATCTGGGTATCGTCTATGAATGACCCAGACCCCACCATCTCATGATTGTATGTGTGTGGAGTGATGCCATGTAAGTCAGTTGGTGTGAGTCAGTCTATGTGAGTCAGTTCGTTATCAGACTTCCGCTGCATAAATGCTCATCCTATATTGGTTGATCTTTGGTTCTGCCCATACTCATTGAAGTATGTAACAGTAGACCTGTAATATCTACCTTAGCTGATAACCAGACTACTGCTAAATTAAAAGATTGCATAACAGAAGTAATTTGTACCTTTTCATATGGAGGAGGAGAGATTAGGCACAAGCTGTCTTAACGATTTTAATTAGAGGTATGCACTTTGATATGACTTGCCTTTTGGTATGGACTAGAGGATTTAATTTGTGCTCTTTGGAGTCTGCAAGTTTTTTAAGAATTTAAAATCCGGTTGCAGGATGAGGAATATGAGTTCTTCTTTATTCGATCTGGCGCCCACTGAATGGGTGAAGAGGTAGCGTCTGCAATCCATTGCAACCTAGTGTAGGCTCAATTTTTCATTAATCTTGGTCTGAATCTGCAATATTCTATTTATGATTAATGGGACGCTGGACCCGGTTTCCAGAAGGTGTTGCTCCCCACCAATAGATGGAGCTGTAAGGACCTGCCAAAACACAGACTGAGAACATAGCTGATTTCTGAGTTTTGCGGCTGGAATGAATGCCTTGCTGAGATTCCTGCTTTTTGCTGAGTCTTTTAAGTCTGTGTGTGTGCGTGCTTGCTGGTCTGTGTGCCAGTCTGAGTGCTTGTCGGCTTGAGTGTGTGTGTCCCGCAAGGGCAATTGTTTGCTTGGGAGGCCCCGCAGGACTGGTGCTTACCTGTGGCCGTGACTTTGGGGTTGCAGCAGGGAAAAACACTCAAGTGGGCGATGGGGTAGCTTATGGCACACTCGAGTAGCGGTAGTGTAGGCCCATTGGCACTCAAGTACTAGGTAGGCCAGTACTGTTCCAAGTAGCGGTAGATTTGTCAGGAACTGGAGGCCGAGCAGAAGAAGACAAAAAGGTGGCATTTTTAGAGGCCCAGTAGCTGTAGGCTAGGTCTAGGCGGGTATCAGTCCAAGTAGTCTTGAGTTAGGGCCTGTACAGGTGATAACAGAGTCTGCAATGATGTTTCCCTCCGAAAGGGCGGAAGTAGTGGTTGCTTGGAGGCCGCACGGCCTGGAAGTCACCGGCCAAGAGGTAGGTAGGCCGCTATATCTCCAGGAGGAGCGAAGTCCTCCTCATTTGCTGCGTGCAAGTTTGGCCGACACGCTGCTGGAGCGCGTGGTGGAGCAGCGCTAGTGTGCTGCGCTGTGGGAGGAAGAGGAGCGCCAGGTTCCCAGCGCCAGGGGTACTTACTTGGCTATGGTGAATGTCAACGGTCTGCTATGCTTGAATGTGCTTGCTTTAACTATGGAAACCAAGAAATTGGGAATTCCCACCGGCATTGTGGAAGCAGGGTTGAGATGGATGATAAGGCGAAATAACAATGGGATCTGGGATCAGATCCGTCAGGCTGTGAACTACATCCGGTGACTACTTGGCACATGACACAGACGGGACCAGCCAGTTGTGTTATGCCACTAAGTTAGGGCAGGTTACAACGGCTACTGGTCACCTGGACCTCGACGACTGGTATGAATGGCATACATTGCTGCAGATGAAAAATCGGATGCAATCCGGCGTCTAATTTTCATTTGGGACTTTGCGTTGGTTGTTTTTCTGCTTTGCGACTACTTGTGGGCCTCAGCCATTCAGATAGGGCCGAATCGACAATTTTGAGTACCAGCAGGGTATGATCGACCCCACGACATGTCAACTGGGCTGATAACTACAAGCATTATCAGAGTACCAGGGATTTTTTGGGGGATTCGGGCGGTTTTGTCAACGGGTTGGTTTTAAGGTACACAGTGCTCAGCTAACGTTTATGAGGGCGTAGCTGAGAAGAGAATAGTATAAAACGTAGAGCAAGTACGATACTCATCCTCAGTCTGAGTGGCCAATGAGTAGAAGGATTGGGAAATCCTCGACATTGTGCGTTGGGGAATTGTAGGCAAGAAGTTGGTATCGCCATGATATTAAAACTCATATCTTCTTCTTCTTCTTTAAGGTGTTTCATTATCTTCAGCGTGTACAGCCTCGGACTCGACCTTGCCGTGGCTCGGGAACGAGTCCGAGGTGCCAACTCCATGTGAGATTGTGCATGGCCTTTTGTATGGATGCTTTGCATCGCTTCAATTTCATCTTTCGTATCTGTATTAATTTCCATTGTATCTTCTTTCTTTATTTCATCATCTACTTTGCATCGTACTATCTTCATCTCGCCGCAATTGCGTTACCCTATGATGCGGCTACGGATCATACGATCCCCACGATAACCTTAACCTTCTCCTATCGTGGTCGTAAAGTGTTGGTCATCCTCCGCGCACCTGTCTACACGAGGCGGTTCCTTCGTTTACAGCAGCACTTTGAGCTCTTGGATTGAGGCGCCACGCTCAACTTATATGGCTGTTCGAACGGAAGAGCCTCTTGATCTGTCGAGATAAGAAGGACACTGCAGCTGCACTATACGTGGGAGTGGGGGGCACACACTTTGCGTTTGTTATTTGGGAGTGTATGGACGGAAGAGGCCGGGGGAAAGCCGATAGTAGGCAGGGCAAGTGGTCCAATTGTGGTAGATTCTGGATAGACCACAGTAATGTTCCAATCAGACCGGCGAATCCGAGTGCGTATACTGATGGCGTGGGCGTACCTCACCAAGCTCTAGGGCCCTCGTTGCATGTACCTCCGACGATGGCGTACCAAGCGCCGGGAATCGCGAATCAAGCACAACAAGTGCTGCTTCAGCAGCAGTACCCAGCCAATGTGCAGGGTCCTTTCATGCAGTCGATGTTACCCACTGCACAGCCTCTGGCTATGGCGCCATTTCCTCAGTATCAGCTCGCCGGCTGGGGTTTCCAGAACTGGACTCCGGGCGGACAGGCTCCACTCGCTCCAATGGCTCCGCCAGCTCCGCCAGCAGCGCCAACACTAAATGTGTGGTATCAACCACCTGCTAATCAGCAGAATTCCCAAGGCCAGAACGGTGATCGGCCCTCTCAGGGTGGGAATGGCAAAGGCCCTGCGGCTAATGCCTTCCCAAGGCCTGGGAATAGAGCCTACTTTACAAAAGAATACATGGATATATTAGAGGGGATTAAGAGCGATAAAGCCCTAGAGGAGGCGAGAAAGAAAGTTGCGGGAGGTAGGTGCTCCGGGATCAGGATAGTGGATCTTACCGATGAGTCTAGAAGCTAGTCGGGCCACCACGGACAAAAGTGAGGAAATGAAGGTGTGGGTGACCTCTACACTGGGAAACTCGTTGAAACTTATCTCGGATAAGTTGGAGTTGCTGGACAAGAGGATAAAGTTGGCTGACGACGAGAAGGCAGAACCGAAGAGGCTTAGGGAAGAGAAGACTACGTCTGAGATGGAGAGTAAAGAGATATATAGTAACGAGAAGCGTAAACGGGGTGAAGTCAAGACCCCTGCTGAAGCATCACCACGCTCCAGTAGGATCAAATCACGTGTACGCGCCAGCGTGAGGACTAAGTCATGGTCCAAGCGGATTGATGTGTCGGTTGATGAGGAAGCAACCGCCAGTGTGAGGCAGAATCTGCGGGCGAAGCTAGATAGCAACAGTGAACTGGCTGATATCAAGAAATTGCTCGTTACGCTGGTCCAGGAAGTTGGCGATCGGAAGGGGAAAGGCGCAGCATAGGCCCCTGAGAACAATCGGCCGGTCGCTGGAGAAGATAGCGAGGATGTGGATCTGGCACGACCAGACAAGTAAACAATGACGATGAAGAAGCTGACGAGTATGGCTTAGCTGCTTACATGAAGCTCTGGCTGGAGTTCTACGGCTCACTGCACTATACCCGCATTCAGGAGTTGTGCAAGCAGAAAGAGATCCAATATTTCCGTAAAGAACTCGTTGCGTGGGAGCTGGTGAGGATTGATCTCCAGGAGTACGCCGATCTCATCAGCAAAGAGAAGCCCGCTGAGGGTGAACCTTCGCGGAGCACAAACAAAATGAATGGAGGTAACTTCGATGATGCGTCCATCACCGAGACAAACCTGATCGCGGAAAACTACGCCTGGGTAGTCTAAGGTCCCTCCAACGTGCTGTTTATCGGATCTTACGTTTGAAAGAGAATGTAGATAGTGAGGTAGCGTTAATTCTAGACAAAATTCACCTCCTGATTATCCTTCTTGCCTGTCTTAGGGGTGAGATTGCCTGGGGTAGAGCATACGTTCGGCTCTGGCTCAGGTTATCAGCCAATGAATGGGATCAACTATTGTTTGTGAGCAGCTGCGTGTACGTTCTTTTGTCCCTAAACCATCGCTTGGTGTACATTGGGAAGATTGCACGGGCGCTCAAAGAAAGGTGGGCGGAGCACGTGCGTGCTATCAAAGGTGCGAGCAAGCAGAAGGTACATACCTGGCTTCGGAATGCGGGTTTTGAGAACTACGTTCCCATTCCGATCTGGTTTGGGGTAGGGACCTCCATTGAAGAAATTGAAAGATCAGCCATCAGAAGCCATAATTCGGGTTTGAATGTTAAGAGCCGGAAAGCAAGGCCGAATACCCGCAGGCACAGGACGAGGAGTAACAACACACCGCACCTGTCAATTACTAACATTGTGGAACCTGTGTTTTTTTATTGTGATTGCATTGGTGTAATGCAAGATCCTGATCTCCTCAATATTATGAAGTCTCTGTTTAAACAGAAGGTTAAAGGACCAATTAAACTCGCTAATAATCGGGGGGGGCGCTAGTTGAAAGCATGGCGACTCATGCGTATTTTGTTCGGATTCTCGAAAATAGAGGTCAATGGGACTAAGCTGCTGCTTAATGATGCTAAAAATGCAATTGAAAATGGAGGGGACTGGTTGATCACTGCACTTCGCCAAACTATAACAAAACTAAACAAAAGAAGGCTGAACTCATAACTCTATTACGAGCCCCGTGGAAGCAGAAGTACTAGTTCCGCCTATCTCTCAAAGAATTAATTGAGCTGAACAATGGTGTAAAAACACTATATCAGTGACAGGCAAGGCAGATTATCCGAGGAATCTTCACTAATGTCTTTAAAAAGAAGTTTGGAATTAACCCAAGAGTAAATATGACAATTAAAATCTCGTACTGTACTAAGGTGAGCAAAGTCAAATTGAAAAATGATGTGAAGGATTGGATACGGTGTAAAATTCTTCCTATATCGCTGGCTGACTTGTATGCTAGGAGGGCTCGGGTTGTTTGGCTCAAAGCTAACTCGGTCGGATCTCTTCTGCATAATCATAAGTCGTATACGCAACTCAGCTCCTTTGAGTGCAAATGCGCCGACTTTGACATGCGTAAAGTGGATGGGCATGTCTCAGCCAAGCTCAGCGACATAGAGGAGGTGCACCCGTTCCTTTTCAATGCTAAGAATATTCCGTTCCCTGGGATGATAACTTGTAAAAATGATCTAAACCGGGCATGCAACGAGGCATTGGACTGCCTGCGGAGCATGAAGTTGACCACTGCATGTATCCATGTGAACTGGCTTGCTGTAAGAAGCGTTGGGGAACACATGAATGACAAATGTATCCGAAGTGAGTATGTCCTTAGGGTAAAATAGACACTTGATGGTCTGGTTTTGTCACCCCTGGACCGGAATATTAGCAAGACCTGGGTTGAGTGCGCCAAACTGTATGAAGCCGGTTTAAGGAAAATGTACCTTGACAATGGGAGCTACGAGCCTGTTCAAAAAAGCCAGGAACATGTCCTGGGTACTATGAAAGGGCGGTATGATGAGCTCAAACTCGGAGCAGTCACCAAGTGGGATTTCCACGGGGAATTGTAGCATGCCTATATTATTACTAAAGAAAAGGACAAGACAAAAAAGAGACCTATCGTACAATATTACACCAGCCCATTCAGATCGGCATCTGGTGTACTTTCAACTGCCCTCAACCATCTGATCAAGAGTGCTGACGTTCCACATTTCAACCTTCGGTCCATGAATCACATGAGGAATGAAATCAATAAAATAAATTGTCTTGATGAGGTAGCTGGTCGTGGCATCACTGCCCGGACCTACGACATCAAGGCAATGTTCACACAGTTGCCCCACAGAGAAATTCTTAAGGTTGTGGAATGGATTACCCGACTTTTCTTGTCCAAGGGTATTAAGTGGATCCGAGTAAAGAGCAGTGGAAAAATCGCTACCTTTAGAAAGTCACATGGTGAAGCATGATGGAAATTTGTTCGTCTTCAAACATTGGTTACAGTAACTATTTTCCAGCTAGAAAACACAGTCTTTCTGGTGTCCAACCAGATCCAGCACCAAAAAATGTAGCATACCTATGGGAGGCCGAGCTAGCCCCGCCTGGCCTGTATCCTCTGCATTTTTTCTGAGTATCAGTTTTTGAGCTCACTGGGAGCTGGCGCCAATTACATCACTGGGAAAAGGCACATAGGTGACCTCTTCATCATGGCCTCATATTCAGGGATAACCCCGATAGTAAGGAGAAAGTTGAGCAATGCCTGGATAAGATTGTCACTTGCTACCCATCAGGCCTCAAACTTGTTCGGACGGACCCCGACATCGGGATTTTGGATTTTTTAGACACTAGGTTGCTTATCTCTGACACACGTGCATCGGTCCTAATGACCCACAAATTTAAGATTGCACAAGATATTTGGGGTCCGCAACCCCTTTCTTTTCGCACTTTCAAAGATTTTTCGTCCTTCGGCCCTAAGGCGGCTAAGTTTGCCACAATCGAGAACACCCTACTTCGAATCTCTACAAATACGAATAATGACAATGGTCTGCTATGCTTGAATGTGCTTGCTTTAACTATGGAAACCAAGAAATTGGGAATTCCCACCGGCATTGTGGAAGCAGGGTTGGGATGGATGATAAGGCGGGATAACAATGCGATATGGGATCAGATCCGTCAGACTGTGAACTACATCTGGTGACTACTTGGCACATGACACAGACGGGACCAGCCAGATGTGTTATGCCACTAACTTGGGGCAGGTTACAACGGCTACTGGTCACCTGGACCTCGACGACTGGTATGAATGACATACATTGCTGCAGATGAAAAATCGGATGAAATCCGGCGTCTAATTTTCATATGGGACTTTGCGTTGGTCGTTTTTCTGCTTTGCGACTACTTGTGGGCCTCGGGCATTAAGATAGGGCCAAATCGACAATTTTGAGTACCAGCGGGGTATGGTAGACCCCACGGCATGTCAATTGGGCTGATAACTACGGGCATTATCAGAGTACCAGGGATTTTTTGAGGGATTCGGGCGGTTTTTTCAACGGGTTGTTTTTAAGGTACACTGTGCTCAGCTAATGTTTATGAGGGCGTAGCTGAGAAGAGAATAGTATAAAATGTAGAACAACTACGATCCTCATCCTCAGTCTGAGTGGCGAATGGGTAGAAGGATTGGGAAATCCTCGGCAGTGTGCGTCGGGGAATTGTAGGGAAGAAGTTGGTATCGCCATGATATTAAACTCATATTTTTTTCTTCTTCTTTAAGGTGTTTCATTATCTTCTTTATGGTGGATATCATCTTCATCACCTTGGTGGGCGCTGCATCTGGAAGGCCCCCGTTCGGGTAGAGCTGCATCAAGAAGCTTCGAGGCAGAGGCATGCATGGCGGCCTGAGTGGAAGAGATCATAGTTGCTTTGCGTTGTCTTTTGCACGTCAAGGCAAGGCCTTTAGTAGTCTATCATAGCCTCGGCCTAGAAGAAGAGAGAAGAGGGCGGCCATGGCTATGGTGGACCTCTTGTTGTCCTGGCAGTAGACGAGGGATTCACACATTGATTATAGTTCTGCCATTCATCATTATTATTATTATTTATTGTTTGAATACGAGGGGAGGAGAAAAGGAGTTTGGTTGGCGAGAAGAAGGGGGATTCATCATTGGTCTTTTGCTGGTATACAACATCTTCTTCTTCTTTCTTTCTTCCTCTTCTTCTTATTTCCCTCTCTCTCCTCTCAAGTTCATTCATTTCATTTTGCAATTGGACGACACTGTGCTTTCTCATCATTTTGCACTTCGAAATTGGCCAGGATCGTCACATTGGTATTGGACCAGATTCTACTTGCTGGCGAGAGTTGACTTTGCTGCCCCAACACTAAACTGAGTGGTTAAAGGCACCACTTTGGGTTAGGGTTGGCCAAGTTGAGGGAAGTGGGACAGCGTGGTATGGGGAAGCAGCACCCACCTGGTTAGGTTGTGTTGGGTCGACACTTGACCTGACCACGTTGCTTGAGTGTTAGTTGCGGTGGCGAGACACTTCAAGAAGACTTCGTGCGACAATTTGGGAGAGGCGACAGTGAGAGGCACTGACACCTGGAGTCTGATCTAAGGGAGAGA